CATGGATCCATTCCGGAGATACCTTCTAACAAACCTCCATCCATCTAAACATTCGCATTTATAATATTAGTAAGATGAAATTATATGCTTTGTATGTGTTTCTATTCTATTTACATTAATATCAATTCCAGATATCATTGGATAAACTAGGTCTATCAGGCTCTAAGGAATTCTTCACGGACAGCGAAGGCAGTGAGTGGAAACCCACAGTTACATTACATGAGAGAAATCAAGATGATGAATATGAAGGCGAATTATTACTTAAAGGACCTGCTGTTTTCACCAGGTATATTACTGTCGCCCGCGGCTCCGTCCGCGCGGAATTAAAAAAAAACAATAAGTAGCTTATATGTTCTGCCAGACTATGTTATACATGTGTGCAAAATTTTATTAAAATCTGTTCAGCTGTTCTGGAGATACCTTCAAACAAACATCCATCCATCTAAACATTCGCCTTTATGTTCTTCCAGACTATGTTCTATATATATGACAAATTTCCTCATCATCCATCCAGCCGTTCTGTATATCTTCTAACAAACATACTTCTATCCATCTTAACTTTTGTAATATTAGTAAGATTTAATTATCATCGTAATCTAAACACACTCAAGGGTTTAATAAATAAATTTAAAAAAAATCTTTATCTTAAAATAAACTAAATAAATTCATAATGAAGTAATTTACATTATAATTAAATTTTGAGATGAAATTATGAGAAAAAGTAAATACATATTGTAAAATAAAGATACCTGTGAGTTTCTAAGATCGAAATTCGTAAAACATATTGTAATATCTGTTTTATACAGAGATTTAAGTCTCAGAAACCAACGGTAAATATAATGTGAGAAATTACAATAGATATTAAAAAAAACCCAATTTATTTCAGATATTGGAACAGATTACCTCAATTGAACGCTTCAGATTTCACAAGCGACGGTTGGTTTAGAACTGGTGATACAGCGTCATACTCTGCAGCTCGCTTTAGGATTCTTGGCCGTACTTCTGTAGATATAATAAAGACCAGTGGGTACAAAGTTAGCGCTTTGCAAGTGGAATCTGCAGTATTGGAACATCCTGATGTTGTAGATGTAGCGGTGTTGGGGGTACAAGATGAAGCCTATGGAGAAATAAGTGAGTTTTCATGTTATTAGCACCTTTTGATTGAATACTATCTGCAACTCCATCCCCAACGAATTAAAAAAAAACTTAATTAGTAACCTATGTGGTCTTCCAGACTATGTTCTATATCTATGTCAAATTTATTAGAGATCTGTACCTTCTAAAAACATCTATCCATTCATCTAAACATTTATATTAGTAAGATAACAGTGTAGATTCCAGCAATAAAAAACTAGGGATGGTTAATGTAAATGTACCAAAAACAGCTGTATGTTTTTATTTTTAGGGTTTTTGATGGCCTTAAAAATTGTAAATAAATAATAAAAAAATCATACCTTTATAATTCCAGTAACCGCAGTAATAGTGACCAAAGATAAAGTGAAGCTAACATTAAAAGATATAAAAGATGTTGCCGGTAAAAAGTTACCTCCATATTCTTTGCCAAGGAAACTGTTGCTTGTTGACCAAATGCCGAGAAATGCTATGGGCAAATTAGACAAGAAGGAAATAAGAAAAGTATTCGCGGATAAACTTAAAAGTGATGGTAAATAAGGTGAGTTTTTTTTAAGACATAAAGCATTCATAACATCTCGTAATTAAATATTTCATTGTTTTCGATTTAATTTCTATTCTTAAATGAATTTCAGTGACTATCCTTTACTTGTTCCAGTTCAAATATTTAATATTTTTATTTATAATCTATGCTTTACCTATAATTAAATTTAAAAAAATGTATTTCTTTGCTTAAATACTTTTTCTGACATTTTACAATTTCACTTTACCTCATTTCCCCAGAAGGTGTAAGATTTTTAAGTTTTTAAAAAATGCCCTTTATTTTTTTTAATACCCAGAGGGGAATTTTTATTTTATTTTTCTGGTGACCCTTGTGACCACCGCTATCATCCCCCTTCCTATGTATGTAACCTTTTGGGACACCCTGTATATGGTACATGTTTGTCAATGTTTGATATAGTTTTTTATACAGCGTGTTTCAAAAACAGTGTAATTTTGTCGTCATTAAAATTATTACACAGAATAGATGACGTAAGATTTTTTTTTTTCAGTTTTATAACAATACAGATGAATATGAACCTGTGAGTTCCTGTAATGTATATACTATAGTAAGTTATTTGTATTTAAAAACAAAACAATAACCGGGAAACATGTTTCTCGTAATTTCTGGATTATATTGCTATTAAAATATTGTAATTATTGTATATCAAATGCATTTATCTAAGTATTTATTAGAATATGTATATATACATTTTTATTAATTTTTCTATACATAAAATAACTTATTTAAAAAAAAAAACAATGTAAGAAAGTTAACGAACATCTGTATATATTATTATGATTTCTGGTTTTTTTTGCAATTTATTGAAAAGACTACATAATAGTATTTAATATAAATGTTCTCTTTTTTGTGTTATTACTTAATAACAATTTTAAAAGAGACATTTTAATATACGCGTTCATTGGCCGGCGCCATACGCACTGTACGCACGGATTAAACGGATTTGCTTTGTCTTTAAATGGAGGTGGTGCAGATTATGGACGCAGTGTTATGTCAAATCATAAAAAACAAACTAAAATTGGTTCAGTATGTGCGGTGCGTCCGGTACGGCCTTTTACATACCTTTAAGCTACTGTTATATTTCAAATATCTTTCAATTTTTTATTGACGAAACTAAAAATGCACACTTAATTTTATTTTAGATTTAAATGTTGTTGTTTTCAATAGTTTACATTATTTATTACTTGACTGATTTTAATATAATGTAGTATGATTTTTTTAAAATAAAAAAATATGTTTATATCATTTAGCATTTTATTAACAACTGTTTTAGTCAATGAAACATCTTAACTAATTACACAGTACATATGTGAATGCATAACATACATAAAAACAATAAGAAACATGTTTATGATTCATATATAAACTAGTTTACAAAGATAGTCAAGTATTGCACTTATAAAATAACTAATTATGATAATTAATTCGTCTATTAACGATTTTTATAATCTATTTAGTACTTATCTCATAATTTAGGAAATTCAGATTAATCGATTACATTTTCGATACACTGAAATATAACTTCGATAACCCTGAGTTTCTGAGCCCAAAATCGCTGTATGAATCTTATCGTCATCCCTGTCACTATCTTTGACAAAACAGAGATAACAATATGTTTTAAACCGGTATTTTCGTCTCGGAAACCCACGGTAAATGACTACAAATACGTAAAATTCGACTACCTACTATCACATTATTAATATCCCTTTTAATACAAGAGATAGCAAAGGTGTCATGTGAAATTCCCAGTAAAAATGCACTTGTATACTTACTAGAAAGTTAAAGTAAATCTAAGTAGTATCTTGAATAAAACTCCTTGCAGCCGCGGTTGCGTTTAATAAACACGGTGGTGAGAAAGTAGCGGACGATATCGCTTCAGACCAACTTGAATATGTCGCTACAATAGTTGCCGTCATTCCTAACATCATAACTAAAAACGCTAATAAAACATCGTACCATTTCACATTATATTCATCAACGTACGACCGATGTATTTCTTCATAACTACCAAAAGTTTGATATTTATTTGGCAACGATTCAGTTGACACGAGCGGCAATTTTGACAGATCGACGCCATCTTGTAAACTCGCATTACGTTCAGGAACTTTTGGTTTGTAACTCAACGAGAATTCTTGTTTTATATTTATCGATTTAAGATAACATAGTTTGAGGAAGAATAATGGAGGGAAAATAAACATTAGTGGACCGGTTAGTGTGGAACCGACGAGACCCATTACTAAATCGAATCTGGGCACAGATTCGCCTAAGAATACTGCCAGGGCGACGATACTGGAACGCATCAGACATCGTTGTATGCAAAAATCTAGAAAAAAAAACAATTATTTACAACATCAATTAATAGAAAATAATTTCTAAATATTTTTTGATTAAGAAAATGTGATTACTTCTTGGTATTTTGAGTAAATCTTCTAAATGTTGGAATAGTGCAGAATTTCCGACGGCGCTCGAGAGGCACAGTTGTAAAGTGACCAGTAAAGCAACAATATACAACGTGATGGATGGTGGAATACCTGAAAAATGAAGTAATATAAAGTCTTTATTTTCTTAAAGATATTACAATAAACATATAATTATCTCTTTTACTTTGAAAGAGTATGAGAGAGATCAACATATTGACTTCAACTGTAACATAACTATAATTTGTACAAGCTTTTGCCCGCGACTTTATCTGTGCAGTATTTGAAGGTTGAAATTATTAGAGACTATGTTCTATGTCTGTACCAAAATTTTAAAAAGGTATGTTGAGGCGTTGCTGAGTTATCGAATAAATAAGTAAATCAAAATTTCCGGGATCATAGGTAGCATAGGTGTTACATGCAGACATACTGAAGATACCTTCTAACAAACATCCAGCCATACATCTAAACATTCACATTTACAATATTAGTAAGAAGAAACGGTGACATTTGAAGTCAATCTTACCCTGTAGTATATTGCTCTCGACAGCATCCCCGTATCGGTTAGCGGCTAACAGCGTGGTGACGAGAAATACCAGCCCCGTAGTAAGGAATGCAGCGAGTACGGCCGCGTTGATACGCCGGCTGTCCTTCATATCCACCTGAAGTGTTAGCAGCATCGGGTGGATGTCGAACTGGAACAATTAACTGGAATACAGTACAAATGACGGACTGGAACAAGTTAGTAGAGTAAATACTAATATAATAACATCGTAGCAATCACGGTATATTTTTGAATAATTCTTTTTATAATAAATAGCCCTATAATTATGACACTCTTTAAGCTTTATATTTTAACGCTATTAAATTTAGGAGGTGTGTAAACTGAAAAAAATATTATGCGAGAGAGGGACAAAAATTTCAAGCCAATAGTAGCAAAGATGCCATGGTAACGATAATTCTCAGCCAATGGCGAAGGCCCTTGTTGATATTTGCATTTGATAGTTTTACGCAAAGTAAACAAAAAAACAAAGTTTTTCTGTGTATGATAAACGAAAGCTACAGTCTTCCAAATAATGAGGATTTAATTTACGTTCAATGGTCCGTTCTTGCACTTACTGAAAGCTACATTGAAAAAAAAACACTATGCTTGTATCATGTTACCTGAAAAGCTATAATCCCATACGCAGTTAAGAAGTCCCCGATTTCAGGAGTATAGTCTAGCACTCCTCCTAAACTGGACGGTGATTCATCGTCAGTCAGTATGCAGTACCACGTCGCAATAGCGACTGTGCCCACTATACATACGGAAGTGAGCGCTAATGACCTGGAAATAGGAGTTATTTTAGAGTACATTAAAAACTTTTTCAATAACGCCATTTACTAATAAGAAAAAAATATAATTGTTTCGTCGAAATTGTCCCATACTTCATATCCTTAGGCGAGCCAAGCCACATGATGGGGCAGAGTAGTAGACCGATGACCACCATCCACACGCAATACGTCACGCCAACGCTTCCTCCAGATATCTTCCACCAGAACAGCTGCAGACTCTGAGATGCTACAAACATAGATAAAATAGTATGGACCGACAAGGATATGTCCCGGCGGGCATTGATTAAACTAAAATATAATAGCTCACTAGCGCCCTCATCACAAAATCACAAGATCCTTTCGTACTGTAGCTCTGTATCTGTCACAATGTTTATTGACAGAACTACCGCGACAGCAGCGCCTCTCACCAGCACATGCTTGTATGAGTATAGTTAATTTAAAGCACCTCTGCGATTGACTGTACTTTAATAGCCTACAACTTACCTCATACTAATATTGTAAATGCGAATGTTTGGATGGATATTTTAAGGTATTTCCAGAACGTCTCTTTGGATCTAGCTGAAATTTACCATGTCAAAATTATTAATTAATAATAAACTAACCAAATATGAAATTAGGTACAGCAGCGCCAAAAACTGTGGCATCAATAAAGAATGTAACCAATCTTCTAGCATTATCACCAAATGCTAACTCAGCCACTGCCGCGTACGGAAATCTGAAATTGATTTTTACCAACTTAAGTATATATTTATTTGAATATGCCGTTATTCCAAATAAAATACGAATAAATGGCCCTGTGAAGGAAATCGTTTTAATTACCTGCTTTTCTCTCGTATGTTAGGTGTCAATTCGTACGCCAGCAACCAACTCTTGCCGAGTAATACTGCCGTGTACAGTTGCAACGAAAATACTGCTATCACCAATGGAATACCATATAATCCTGGAAAGATAACATGGTCTTATTAATATTATAGTTAAAATTATTTGGTTTTTACCTCTTTAACACGTTAGCTGCCAAGTCGGACTATGTGTCCGACAAGCCATACTTCCGTTCAACACCTCGCTATGGCTTTTAATCGAATTGTTGTATACAGCGTGACACGCAAGGGCCCATTCAAATGGTTTTGGTTTTCGAAAAAACATTCTGGGAGCTAATGTGTTAATGTAGTACCTACTTCCTAGCCAGTAACAACTAACGATCTTCTAACCTTTTTAACCTAACCAGTATCAACTTTATTTTGCAGTCGTACGTCTTATTTCCACTGGCTCGATTTACTAGTTAAGTGGAATTAGACACTAAGACGATACAAAATATTTCGTTACATGATTGTCGTAACAATATCATATTACAAACCGCAAGCTATCACGCTCTTAGGCAGCGCGACGACTGGAAACACTCCGAATAGATCCACAATACATAGCATTGTGAATAACACGCTTAGACCACCGCTAGTCTCTCCCGCAGTGTACTGCCCGCGGTGGATTGTGGGCCGAGCGCCTACCGCGCTGGAGCCCCGCATAGAGTCGAATAGACGGAGAATCTTCATTTTTATAGCTGGAAATGAAACAAGTGACAGTTTAGAGAAACTATTAAACAGGCTGACTGTACATATAATTCGTGGAAATGAAACTGACAGCAGGACCTTGCAAGCCTAGCTTCTAATTGTTGGTTTCATTCCTATTATTTTTGACAAAACGTAGATAACAATATGTTTTAAATGGGGAAACACATAAATGATGTAGTCTTAACTAACTTTAACAGTGGTAGAGCCCGCTTTAACATCTTCGCACGAATTGTCTCGCCTCGCCCTGTGAAATATCACGACCACACAGAAGACAGGCGTCAAGTGGAAGGTATTCCGCGTTTCATCTGATGAGTGTGCGTCCCGGAGGGCTAATTTAGTCCTCCCCTCTTTTTTTATAAGGGAAGTGGAAGTGGACTTTACGGATGAGAGGATGCATGGAAGGGGAAAATATTTTCTATCTGTGCATGTCTATGGGCAACGGTCACTTCGCTATTTTAGAGATTTCAGGTGGCCGCTTGCTCGTTTGCCACCTTATGATATAAAAAACTCTACATTTTGATATATGAAAAATAATTCATGTATTTTGAAAAACAAAATCAGGTTTTTAAAATTTAAATTCGTTTCCGTGACCGTTTTTTCCACTGTTGAACTTTACCATACCAGAAGGATTTTGAAAAAAATATGTAGGACCATATGTGTTCGGTGTCGAAATTATGAATTTTGAACAGTATCCGTAAACCTTGGCTGTAGGTACAAAAAAAATTTAAAGGCCACGATACTTTTTTATTCATCTTGCTCTAATAAATTGAGCTCAATCTAATAATTGATATTAGATCCACTTCATTTCGTTTGCATCTTTAAAAACAAACGTTCATTTGTTATTGAATACAACGACTATTAATGTTTTCACACAGCATAACTTAATTTACAATAAAGCACTTATAAAACACTATAAACAATTAAATTTTTTATTTATTAAATGATAAGACGATTAAAAGGTACTTATTATACAGAGTACAATAGCATTTTTTTTTACTCTGCATTTTTGTACTACTGTGTGCATTAAGATAAGGCAAAGGCAATCTTTTTAAAACTAATTTCCTAAAAAAAAAAGTTTTTTTATGATACTTTGTTAATTTACTAGTATCTAATAATCTGTAATGAATAAAAAAAATTGTTATTATTATTAACCTCAAAATAGTTAAGCGACTTAAATTATTTTTTTTCACGACTGTGCGTCTAATTTCGATTAGTAATTCGATCACTGTCAACTAATCGTGGGTTACCATTTTTAAAACATCTTTACAAAACTATTGTTATCTCTGTTTTATCAAAGAGAGTGAGAGAGACATACATTTTGTATAATACGATTCGGCGGGAAACTCACGATGAAGTTACGGGAACTTCGCCGACATTTAATTCAATTAAGGTAATAAGTTTTTATACTTAGTTTAAAGAAAATAGTGAATAAGATTAAAATTCTTTACTAAACCCGGAAAAGAATTTACATTCTTGCTCATTAAATAGTAGCTTTAGTATTTTGTTAAGAAACAAGAAATCTAATTATGTTGGTCTTTAACAAGATTTTCATTTTTGTAATGATTAAGAGCTAATAGTCCTCATTATTTTCCCTAAGGTAAATGAATAGGTGAAAAAAACTAACCCATTTTACTTACTGCTGGAGGAAGTGTTCATTCGGTTACAGTTTATCAGGAACCAAATGACAAAAATGTCAACAATCAATTAGGCACAAAATACCATAGTGCATAGCCTGTCTATATATAGAGTTCAGTGGATCTAATTCTCATACATTTTACTTCTAAAAAAACATGTTAAAAAGGTAACGCGTAACAGGAATGTAAAACTCTGTATTTAAGTGATGTTTTAATGATGTGAAACAATTACAATTGGATACTTTCGATTTTTTAAGCGGCATTCAAAAAGACAAGTTTTATAAAAACGTTTTCACTTTTTGAAAAAAGATGACGTTGTTTTGCTATCTTACTATTAATCTTAAAAGATATGAGAAAAGGATTTAAAATCCTTTGAGACCTTTACAAAATACATTTACGTTTTTTGTTTGTTTTTAAGAAATCTTGCCAAAATGTAAAGTGAAAGTGAAAGTTGTTAAGTAATTGAAAACTTAAAAAATATAACTTCGAATTCTCTCGACAAGTGTACACAGAAATCTTTTCAGTTTGTCACAAAATTGAATTGTAGAATATATGTATGTATGTGTATATGTGTAGTCAACACATGAACCGGTTTTGTATGGGAACAAAATAAACCGAGTTTGGCCAATGTACAGTTCCATCCAAACTTTATGGCAGCTCGCAATTTCAAACGAAGTGCTGTGCAATGGCGGCGGGGCGTATAGAAAATTCCTGCACTCGTGTTTATATATTGGGAGTAAACCAGCAGCGGAAGACAAAGTAATCAGCAACGATTATGGACATCCGCAAAACTAAAGGAACTACAGGTGCATTGTTGTCCTTGAAAAACAGGTACACTCGCTTCTTGAAGGACTCGAAGTACCGCGAAAAGCGCACCGTTGAATGCAAGCCTGTTTCACACACGCACATGGTCTAGCGGCTAACCACGAGCTTCTGTAAATTTTGAATCTTGTAATACCACATAATCGAGACGAATAAACCAGTTAGATATTGTAAAATTATTCCATGTGATGTTTCAAGTTCAATTAGTTAACGAATCTTACGCAATTTCTTCGTCCTATATAACGTTTGCGTAATCTGGCTCCTGCAGTTATTTCAAATTAAAAGAAGTTAGGAACAAAGAAATAATGTACAATAACGTAGAAAGACGACAATACGCTAGCTCTCTTGAATATCCTCTTTATCTATACAGTTCCATATACATATGTTGTTTCTTAATCGTAATATCTACACGGGGTCTATGATGTTCATTAAACGCCGTTCCAGTCGCTATAACTTCATCTAATTTAATATAATAAAATATGTTTCAATCTGTCAAAACGTGTTTGTATTTCAAATAAAATAATTATATTTCAAAATGAATGTATAATTTATAAGACGCGTGTCGCAAAATTTTATCATACTACTTAATTTTAATTTAATTTATCTAAAATTGACAATCTATATTCGAATTTATAGAATGCAGACCTAATCGATCTGTGCTATGTTCTTCTGTGCATATGCAATTGTGGATGTCTATGGGCAATCGCGTTACCATCTTGGCGAATTCAAGTGGCATTGGCTTAATACACTTCGTGTGTAAGCCAAGAGAGAAAAGAAAAAATATTAGGTGGCCGCATGGTGCTCGATCTTTTGCCAACTAACACCATAAAAAAACAAGTTACTACAAAGAAGAATGTGTATTTTGCGGAGATAGTGTCAAGACCAATATATTGCGACATATTAACTCCTAAATCGAAAAAAAGGTGAATAATTTTTTTAAGCATTTCTAGCGATTTTTTATCGATAGAGTTCATTGACTCGCACATTTTTTATTGAAACCTACATAAAACAGCTTGTTTTAATTCAGCCTTATATTTCATTTCAAAATGTTTGATATGTGTTCTTACATGTTATAATGTCGAACATGTTAAACTCATTAGACAGGTCGATCCACATACCTTCTAGAGTAACCTCAAAAATTAAAAATCTTGTATAATTATCATGACATAACCAATTTGACCATAGAGAAATGCAAATAAGGGTATTAAAAAGGTTAACTTAGTTCGTGACTAGAATAATAATTTTAAAAGAATTTTTATCAAATATAAATAGTGTTCAATTGATAAATTATTTTGTTAGACTAAACTGAGAATCTAGTATGAGTATTTGCGACACGCGCCTTCGTAACCTCATTGACAAAATATGTCAAAATCCATAGACCGTCCGCGCGGAATTTAAAAAAAACAACATTAGTAGCCTATGTATTCTTCCAGACTATGTCAAATTTCAGCGAGATCTATGCAGCCGTTCTAGAGATGAGATTTAACAAACATCCATCCATACATCCAAAAATTAGTATGATTTGATGGAGGACTTTTTTCACAGTAAATGTATAAAGCTGCACAAAATTTAATACAAATATCAATAACGTTACGTAAAATTTTTCACAAATATTCGTGCTAGGACCTTTGTGGTTTTCGATTTCCACAGTAAAACAATCGTTTACTTTTTTTATAATTAAAAAGTCATTAAAATAAGTTCAAACTCTTATCATAAATGACATTTTGTGTAGAAAAAAAGAATTGTTTGGTAAAAAATAACTTGATTAGTTCTATAAGTATCTTACTTCGGCCACGTGCTCAGGCACGACAGATACAATCTGATTCAACTCATCTTGATGGGAAAAGTTCCCGGTAAAAGGAGTGTTGGTCGCAGAAAAATGTCCTGGTTGCGCAACATCCGAGAGTGGACAGGGGTTGTGAGTGCCGCCCAACTTTTTCGCCTCGCAAGAGACAAAGGAAAATATGGAGAACTGATCGCCAACCTTCGCTAGTCGGAGAGGCATCTCAAGAAGAAGAAGAAGTTCTATACACAACAATTAAAAGCTTTACTAGACTATTTTACAATAACTAACTAACCACTACAAAACAAATGACTCAATTTATTATATCAAATAAACTATATAATAAAACTAAATCAAACTGAAAATGGTGAAGGAAAACATCGTGATGCAACCTGCACATATGTGAGAAGAAATTCAAAGATATGTGTGAAGTCAACCAACCCGCACTTGGCCAGCGTGGTTGACTATGGCCTAATCACCCTTAACTTGTGTAGGCTTCGAACCCCTCGGTAGGGACGTGTAGTGAGCTGATGATGTCAAACTGAAAATAAAACTAAATAATAAAAAAAATCGACCCCAAATCGTTAAAAAATTGTGAACTGTATGTAAATACTTATAACTATTAAGATTATGAATGTTTTATAGCTAATTGGTACTTTACGACAAACCGGATTTGAATAATGTTTTGACATCGAAATTGTCTTTTTGAAGATTTTTTATGCTGTCTGATTTAAAATGATTTGTAGACAATGTATTGGTTTGTCACTTGAAAACTTTTACAAAACATAAGTTAAATTGAAGTTTCAAAAAAATCTAATACAGAGAATTAGTAGGAATGTATAATACAACTATTACAAACTATCCTTTATTACTAACAAATGCGAATGTATGGATGGATGTTTCATCATCATTATCAGCTCACTAAACGTCCCCACCGAGGAGCCTACTCTAAGATAGGGGTGACTAGGCCATAGTCAACCACGCTGGCCAAGTGCGGGTTGGTTGACTTCACACATATCTTTGAATTTCTTCTCAGATATGTGCAGGTTGCATTACGATTTTTTCCTTAACCGTATGAACGTCGGATATATGTACATATACAAATCTAAAATCACATTGGTACATGGCGGTAATCGAAACCAGGACCTGCAGATTGCAAATCAAGTGCTTGACTCCTGAGCCACCGATAAATGCGAATGTTTGGATGAATGGATGGATATTATTATTTATTTATTTATTAACTCTTAATGCTAACATAATACATAACAAAAAAGACAATTAACTAATTTACAAAGCAAGGGCGGCCTTATCGCTACAAGCGATCTCTTCCAGGCAACCCAGTGGGACAGGAAAGAATAACATAGAAAGAGGGATATATAACATATAAATATCAGGATATGTCAAGAATAAATAAATAAGAGCAAGAATTATTAAAAATATATATATATATACTAGTTACATATAGATATACTAAACAAATTAAGCAACATAAATATACAATATACATGAATACACTAACCTATGAATACAAATATATAAATTATAGGAAAGCAGAAAAATAAGCTTAGCGAAAGGCTTTATTTAGAAGATGGCGATGCAACTGTAATTTGAAGAAAGACAGGGACTTTGACTCGCGAACGTCACGAGGCAGATCGTTCCACATGCGCGCAGCCTTCACAGTAAACTATAATAACGATATTTATTAGAAGGTATTTCCAGAACAGCTGTATGAATATCGCTGAATAAGGCATAGATGTAGAACATAGTCTGGAAGAACACATAGACTAATAAAATTTATTTTTAATTCTACTACTACACACTATACTAAATAATTTTAAAAGGTATACCATTATAAAATCTCCGATATTTAATGCCATGCGATCAAACACCATGAGGTAAAACTAACCTTTTATGTGCCAAAACTGACCTTATGTTCCCCTTGTGAATGTAGAGCAATGTCCTTTAGTTACTAATTGGATCGTTGTAAGTCGCTAATAAACATCAGAGATGGAATTTTAAATGATCCGACTTGTGTAGATTACTGATCTACGAGATTAAGCTTAAAAAATGCAGAAAAAAAATATTTTTAATGTTTTATTTAATTTTTTTATATTTTTTTTAAATATTAGCAGTTTTTTTTTTTGTAAATTTCCTAATATTTCTTTTACCATTCCAACTAAGGTCTATGCTTGTGCTAGGATATGGTTCACGACAATAGTCGAATGGCGGGATTCGAACCCCCGACCTCGTGATCGGAAATCCGTACCCTTAACCATTAGGCTATTGACGCTTCAAAAATATTACAAAGTAATATCTTTGAACACAGTAAACTTTAGTAGATAGGAGGTTAAGTTACTTTATTTACATACAAGCTGTCATCTGCAACTTCATACGCGTTATATTAAAAATCATATTTATAAGGCTATGTGTTCTTCGAGACTATGTTCATATATGCCAAATTCCAATGATATCGCGCAGCTGTTCAGTATATATTTTCTAACAAACATCCATCCATTTATCCAAACATTCGCATTTATAAGGTAAGTGTATTTTTTGCAAAAGAAACTCATATTGTCAGAGGCCTTTGGTTAGATGCGCTACTTTTGTTACCTTTTATTTTCATTCTTAAAAAAGTAACAAATAAACAATGATATACAGCATCGGTGGTTTTCCTACGACTATATCGGAAGTATAAGAGAGAGAGAAAGAGAGGGAGAGAGAGAGAAAGAGAGAGAGAAAGAGAGAGAGAGAATACGTACACTTACATTTTACTTTAATTGTGACTATATTTAATTATAACACTCTCGTCGTTTCTTATCGCTCCTATCTCCTGGTTTCTGAGACTAGAATCCTCGTTTAAGCCATAATGTCATCTCTGTTTTCTCAACGATAATAACAGGGATGACGATATGTTTTAAACAGTTGGTCTTGGAAACCAATGGTTAAAATTCTTAAAAAAAAGTATTTAAGCTTCGCGAAATTTAATAATTGGTACAGATTCCAATGTTCGGAGTTTTTAGTAGCAAATTGATTTTGTTGTACACACTATTAAGACTACTATTATCATTACAAGGCTACGAAAAGGTTAAAAAAAGTTTAGTGTATTAGGTTACGGATACCATAAATGTGAACCGAAATAGTATCCATATTAGATGTAAAACGAGGAATATATAATATACTAGCGGACCCGACAGACGTTGTCCTGTCTGCGCGTCTTTAATTTGAATAAATTAATATGAAGTTAATATTTGATGAAAATCGTGAATCTAAACCATTCCCAGATCCCCTTGAACACACACAAAAAATTTCATCAAAATCGGTCCAGTCGTTTGAGAGAAGTTCAGTGACATACACACTCACAGAAGAATTATATATATAAAGATAATAAATTAACATTCCAAGTAATCGTCTATTAAAAATAAAAAAATAAATAATATTTTCATTAAAAATAGCTTTGTGCAGCATATTCTATGCGAATTATTGTAGCTTTGATCCAATTTGATCGGTGTATTTACATTAGTTATTCTCATATTCATATATAGATATAATCTTACCTTATCTTTCTTAAAATTACGTTTTGATTTTTTTCCTTTCAACACTCAACCATATTTAAAAAAACATATTTTAGCACTTTAACACTAATGTTTTAATTTATGGGTTCTATCATATTAAATAAAAAAACTTGTCGCGAGATTTTTTGTATTACAACTATAGCTATCAAATAACGTTATAAAAAAACTACAAATTTGGTTATCAAAAACATGAAAAAATGTTTTTTTTCAAACAGGTTCTGTCAGCGGACGCCACCGAACGCGACGTAACTCAGACTAACGTAAACGCCGACTGACCAACTGTTCATTTGCTTTCAACATGTATGGCCAATTGACCAATAATTTATACAATTAGGTACTACTTTAGCATAATTAAAAACCAATCGTAGTGACGTAGCAGCTAACTTAAAGCTTAAAACCCGGTCTATTTAAAAAACGACTTTTAGCGCTAACTAAATAACTGAATAAAATATTTCTATACCTCTCTTTCTCTCTGAAAAGACAAGAAAGAAAAGTGCTAATGCTCGACCACAAACCAACCAGATGGTAAGTAGGGATGTAGACGAAGGATGGTTCGCACCAGCGTAGTAAATGTCTACGCACACAGTAAGAGTAAAAGTATGTTGTTATGACGTCATTTTAATCAGGTATCATGTAATTTTATAGGAGTTGTAAATTTTACTTTTTGATGTAAGAGTAAAAAAACCTACACACAGTAATATATGGGGTTTGGTAAAATGTCAATAACTCAGCGAACGTTTTTATCTACACTTCCATTCTAAAGAGGTTTGTATTTTTATTTTTTCGTAACGAATGTACTGGCTATAAAAACTACTGGCTTGTTATGAAATGTTTAAAAATTATGTCCAACCGTGCAAGAGTACCCCAAGTTAAACTTTAAAAGAAATGCATTTAGATTCAACATCACAACCTTTTAACGTATTTGTTTTTATCATTTTCTCGCGAATCATTATTTGAAACCGGTTTTGTGTGATTTTTATTTATTTCTGAAATCAAATGTTTTTGAATTAAACATAAAGTTGTCATGTACACATATTTGGGGGGAAATCAATAAATTTTACATTTTGCTGTTTTATACGCCTTCGTTGTTTTGACTGGATCATTCTATGCATAAATTAAACTGTACCACAATTTTAATTCAAGGTAAATGATTTTAATATTAGAGTTGAGTTTATTTATTCAAAGGTAAATTAATTTTATTAACATGTGTTTCGGCAAAAAAACCGTTTAAAAGGACCAGTTATTCATGCCTTTATGTTACTCAACCATTATACGTTTAATAACAATCTTTAGAATTATTTAATGCTCATAACGATCGTATCTATAAATCTGTTTAATTTACTTAAACCTATTATAACATATTGAAGACTTTTTCACTGAAGTGTACTAAGTCCAGCACTCAGTAATCCGATAAGCGTACGGATCGCTTACACCGACATACATACCTAGAAAGGTACAAACATACAGTTACTTTTTGTCGTTATCACGAATGATAGTTGAGGTAGACAGGGAGGGCGCTAGTGAGCCGTAATAATAATTTAAATAAAACATCATATAATCTGTATCTTAGTGACAGCCGATAGCCTGACAGCTGACAGCTTTTGGAGCAGAGACCAGAGACTAAAAAAGAGAAAGATCTTCCATCCAAAGACAAGTGACAAGCGGGCGAAAGGGGCGAAGGGCGAAAAAACATTATCAAACAATGCTTTGAAGTTTGAACTGACTTTGAGTTTGTTTTTATACAGATATAATATAACTACTCTTTGTTTGCTTTGTTCAATCATGTCCGTTTAGTTTCGCTTAAGTGAATATTTTTTACATTTCTTGTATTCTGTTATTTATCTAATAAGAAGATAACTTTTTAAAACAATAACTATCCAGCTGTTCACACAGCAGACGACCACGTCAAGGTAAGAACAATAACAACTCAACGATATTCGTCACCAAAAGCCGACAAGTGGCCATATTTAAATGAGAACTGTGTAACCTAATTTTGAAGAATTTCATTTGAATCTTGCTATATCTACTAAAGATTCAGAATGGCATGGACAGGATATCAAAAATTCCTTGCTTTAATGATGGTCATCACTGGTTCAATCAATACCCTGAGTACCAAATGGGCGGATAAATTGGAATCCAAAGGTTCTGATGGAGAAATTAGGCCATTTAATCATCCATTCCTTCAAGCAGCCACAATGTTCTTAGGAGAGATATTATGCTTAGTGACATTTAAATTAATATACTATAAAACAAGGAACACAGGAGGCCATGCTTTGACTCAAGGCAATCAAAACTTTAACCCATTTATACTGATGCCAGCAGCCATGTTTGATTTGATTGGCACCTCAATAATGTATATTGGACTTACTCTTACTTATGCAAGCAGTTTCCAAATGTTCCGAGGTTCCATCATCCTCTTTGTTGCTGTATTTTCTACAACATTCCTTGAACGTAAGATTGCTTCAAGAGAATGGGCTGGAATAGCTGGAGTGCTATTGGGACTTGTTATTGTTGGGGCTACAGATGCCATATACCAGGCCCCAGGCGAGGCTAAAGGTAGAAACAGTGTAATAACAGGAGATATGCTGATCATTGTTGCGCAGGTTGTTTCCGCCTGCCAGATGGTATATGAAGAGAAATATGTCACTGGTCTAAACATACCATCAATGCAAGCTGTAGGATGGGAAGGTATATTTGGTTTTTCAGTGCTTTCAGGATTACTGGTCATATTCTATTGGGTACCTGCACCAAGTCACTTTGGTAACAATCCTCGAGGTACTGTAGAAGATGCGATTGATGGATTAATACAAATAGGTAATAACCCGTTGCTCCTTGTAGCAATTATAGGAACAATAATATCTATTGCTTTCTTCAACTTTGCGGGTATAAGCATTACCAAAGAACAATCTGCTACATCCAGAATGGTACTGGATTCTATAAGAACGTTTTTCATCTGGATGGTGTCGCTGGCTGTCTCTTGGCAAGTTTTCCACTGGCAACACCTTGTTGGCTTTAGTATACTGTTAATGGGCATGTTTAAATATAATGGTGTTTTACCTGAATGGAGCCTGTTTCGTAGAAATACTGACAATGTCACCCAAGAGGAGGAGAGAGGTGTTGTTAATGCTGAAGCTGATAATCCTCAAGATGTTTAAATACTCAGAACATTGTCACACATTCAATGCTTCAATGATTTAACGTATCAAAGCGAGATGTCTATAGAATTGTATTAACTTTAAGAAATATTGACGTAATTGTTTACAGTATTCAATTTCCAATCATTTATAATTATGATACAAGTAATTTTAAAAAGAATATATTTAGTTTTGTTACTAACTTCTATAAGAACTGATGTATTAGATAAATTATTGGTTAAAAATAGTATTTAAGATGTAAATGATATTCTTTCATATGATCTGGACAATTTTTTTTAGGTGCAAGTAGTGTATGTCTATAATCCTATATGCTATTTCATCATCAGCTCACTATATGTCCCCACCGAGGGGCTCGGAGCATATGTAAAGGGTGATTATAATATGCTATTTACTAAATACTATTTACTTATTTTATACAAATAATAATTTTCCTTACATATCATGACTTTTATTATGTATTTTGTAATATTAAGCAGATTTAAATCTTTGTAAACACATTGTTATAGCTCAATAAAATGTAATATTATTATGTAAATAAATATAACATAGATAAAGAAATACAATAATATGTGATACTGTCAAACAAGATTAGATATGTTTTGAATTTTATTTGATTAAATTAATGGGCAAAATAATGAAAATTTTCATTCATGGCAACACTTAACATAAATAGTATATCACCTTCCCAAAAACTACGATCTTTGGAGTAAATAAGTAAGCTTTATTCATCACAAAGAAGTTAGAAAACCATAATAATCAACGTATTTTCAACAAAGACGTCAGCATTATCATTTGGGGTTATTAGGTCTTGCTTAGATTGATTAGAACAGCAATTACGATGTATGTTAAAGTCATAATAGTTATTCAAATGTATTTTCCTGTAGGCATATAACTATAATATTTATATTAATTATAAAGTTTCCAATGATAAAGTTTTAACACATACGATAAAAGTATAAATTAAAAAACCTGTTTTTTTTTATGATGTTATATATTTCTTTAATACATAATTTAGTAATTGCTATTGTAAATTTTATAGAAAGTAAAAACATTCACTTCCGTTTCCATAACTTCTAGACAATTACTTGAATTTCCCGCTTTTCTCACTACTGACATGACTTATAGTAGAGCAACGAATTTATAAAAGATGGCGCTGTAAAGAGTTAATTATATGACACCTTATAAATTGTACAATTGTGTATGTAAAAAAAGTAATATTAAACATTTAAATCAAAGTACTTTTATTGCACTGAACCGTTAAAGTAAATGTAAATAGACGAGTATTTAATTTATATATGGCAGCTTCTTATAATTACGTTCCAACTTACGCTGTTGATTTTACATTAAACATTATTTGTGATTAAAACGCATTGAAGAGTAATAAAAATAAAGTTTCTTTCGGTTAATAAATGTACTTAGTTCATATGAAATATTTTTAATTACATAACAATGTAGTTTAAAAAAAATCTGAAGAGTGCGCATGCTCCAATTTAGTGATCGAAATAGTGAAAACAAATTTCGTAGAGGGCGCTGCTCGCGCATATCATCTTTCCCATATTTTATCTCTTTCTCGCTCCTTTTGTGACATTTTTGCGGAACGTCCATCGTGTTTCCTTGTAAAAATTATTATAAAAAATCACATTAGGGCATGGTCTGTACCGTAAAACCTTTAAAAAACCGTGATATAAAATCTATAATCGTGGTAAACTTTTCTTGTGCCAAGTGCAACTAAACTATCAAGATTCCGCCGATAATTCAAAGCCTACCCAGTGGGTGGCTTAATTTGGTAAGTTTCTCTTTACATTTATACTATTATCTGTTTTAAAAACATTAATCAACTAACATTATGATTGGTTAATGTTGAAATGCGCATTTAAAAATACAATATGGTGTGATCACTAATAGATAATAGAATCACTTAACGTATGACAAATTTCTGAAGGTTGATCTGAACCGTGACATTTTCCTATTAGCGTTATTTTAAGTGATATTACTCAGTGAGAAGAACGAATCATTTAATCTATTATATGAATTGCTCCAGAATATATATTGCAATCTTAAGATAAGACTCGTGTCGAAATTTACGTCACAGTCAGATTTCATTAGCCACATATTGTCTTTATAGTGTTAACTAGTTATCACCTGTATACATAAGGCAGTACAAAGTCTACTTACACGAAATGTAACATATTTCACCTATTTATTTAAGTATCATATACTTATGACCATGAAAATATATAACATATGCTCTCTTTACACAGAACATCATGCATTGATAAATATTATTTGTTACAATTCTAAACTAGAGTTAATATGGGAAAGTTTGTTTTGGTTAATATTGTAGTGTTATTTTTAAAGAATTTACTTATATTTAATTTATTTACTTATATATAGTAGGTACTTTATGTATATTTTTTATGTTTGTTATTTAAGATATGTCTATATGTTAAAGAAATGAAAAAGCGTGAATCTCACATTTTATGTACTTTCTGTACTTGATTGGAGTCATTCTATGCTAAAATTCAACAATTTTGCAATTATTTTTTGTTTTTTTTTCTTTGCATGTTTTTTTTTATTTTTTCCTTTTGTTTTCAAACACGCTTTTTCATTTCATTGTAGGTGTGAAGATTTAAGAAATGGAAAAGAAACAAGACTCATTCTTTCTTCGTACAAAAAAACCACAACATAAAAATAAAAACATTGATAAACAAAAGTCTAAGCCATTGGAGAATGAAAAAGAGAGAAGACAAAATAATTTTGATACTAACCGTCCAGTAGTAAAAGATAAAAAAGATGAAAGCGAAAAGAAACCATTCGATAAAAAGGCATATCGTCTTAAGAAATACAGTAAGAAATATAAATTAGAACAATGGGAGGAAAAAAGAAAGAAGAAACTTCTATATGACTATCATAAGAGTATTAAAAATGATCCATTGCTCGGTTCCTATACTCCAAAATCCTTTGACGAAGACACTATTGATTCTAATCCACCTGAAGTTGGTAAATTTGTCAGACATCCAGATCTCATTGAAAAAGCAGCGCAATTAGTGAAAAACACTAAAAAAGACCCATTTCAAAAGGCTAAAGAACATTATGAGAAGATAAAGTTAGAGAAATCGCAGAGGCAGCAAGAATTACAGAAGTCCAAAGAAGAGAAAGCCCAGAAGTTGCAAGAATATAAGAAGAAGAAACAAGAACGGTACAAGAAACTAAGCAAGAAGACGAAGAAAGGACAGCCAGTGATGACTGGTAGATTAGAATTGTTATTGGAGAAAATACAAAAATAAAATAAAAAGTACTTGTAACCAATTTTATTAAGAACAATTAAATGAAATCATGAATAATATAATCACTGTTTATTATAAAAAAATCAAAACCATACGAAAATATCTAGTTCAAACATGGACCACATTTAAAAAAAAATAGTCAAAATCTATCTTACTAATATTATAAATCGAAAGATTAGATGGACAAATACTTGTTAGAAGGTATATCCAGAATGGCTCAATGGATCTTGATGAAATTTGGCACAGTTGTAAAAAAATCATCATCAGCTCACTATACATCCCCACAGAGGGGCTCGGAGCCAACCCTATATTAGGGGTGACAGTACCATAGTCAACCACGCTGGCCAAGTGCGGGCTGGTTGACTCCACTGGTTGGATGTCGAACATAATCTGAAAGAACACACAGGCTACTAATAATTTTTTTTTATTTCCGCGCGCACAAATTCGCGGATAACAGCTAGTTGTATTATATTAGACGCCAATAGCGATATTTTCTCGCCAATAAACATATCTCTCTTATCCGAGTTTCTCGCTTATAGAGGTTATAAGTTAGGACTAGATAATGACACTGCTTTGTAGAGGTTTCTCTCTTGCGGTTTCTCCTTTGGGTCATATAAAATTTCCTAATAACATTTTAATAGTGTTTACAAGAATAATCCAATGATTTCATTTCTTGCTCATTTAGTTTGCTAATGAAGTAATATTTCATTATGACTGCAAATTACTATTGTGCTGAAGTTAACACTATCACAATAATTTGTAATCTACATTTGAATTCAATGTTGATTTTACTTTCTCCATTTACAAACAATATAAAGTGTTTACGGAGTGTTGTCTGTGAGTATTTTTTTTAATTTTCCACTGCTATAAAGGAACTGTTTTCTGATACTATATTTTTTAATCTTTAAATGATAAATCAAAAACAAATAAATTTAATATTTTTTTACTTGAATAGTGGTATAAGATATTGACATATGTGTTGCTATTTATTAAAATACTCTGGTGGGTTTATTCTGTTATAATACTCAAACCAACGTGGATTGACATCTGTCATTCTCTTTGAATAAAAATATAGATAATATATATATATTTTTTTGTACTAGTAACTGTAACTCAAATTAGGTATGGATTTTAAATCTTAATCTTTCTTATTATTTACACTATTTTTTTAAACCCAATTGCTATTTTCTACTATATGCAGAGTTTTGAAGATTTTTAAATTTGGCGAATTGCCATTTGACCTTAACTCAGCCACCGTTTTGTGCATGTTTATCATGTACTTACAAAATTATTTACCTTAGCATATAAATGTATGTATGGTACATACCACTATTTTTCGTTAACATACAAACTTTATTGGCAGAAGAAAACATTGTGATGCAACCTACACATATCTGTGAAGAAATTCAAAGATATGTCTGAAGTCAACCCGCACTGGGCTAAAGTTGACTATGGCCTAGTCACACCTTCCTTGGGTAGGTTCCGAGCCCCATCAGTGGGGATGCATAGTGAGCTGATGATACAAACTTTAATGCAATATTTTTATAACGTTAGTATAATATGTCACACATGCAATTTTATCTAGTGTCAAAACCTAGTAAAAAATTATCAACCATCCAATTTGCAAAAAAAAGCTATAAATCATTGTATCATATAGTTTAAACATGTATAAATCACTATCTATTATCAAAAAACGCGTTATTATTATTTAATTGTATAAAGAAATCATATCTTTTGGACAAATGATTTGACCCCGTGCTATCTCGGCGCCATTTTTGAATTCGCATCGAATACATGCGTGATTGTTTCTTGAATAGTGATTTGACCTCTTATATAATGATAATCCTGGACTGATGACGAAGTTTTACGATGACTGGTAGTTAAGTTGAGGGTTCGCAGTATTTTGAATGTGGTCTACGAGAAAAAATCACAATTTTTGGTTGACATCTAGGTTATAGGACAAACACTGCCATACTAGCACAAAAGTTCGTTATACGATTCTATTTTACTAATATTATAAATATGAATGTTTGGATGGACGGATGGATTGTTAAAGGTATCACCAGAAAGTATGCATTGATCTTGCTGAAATTTGGCATAGATGTAGATCAGGCCCGGAAGAACACATAGGCTATCAATTAAGTTTTTTTTAATTCCGTGCGGCCGGCGTCCCGCGTGACAGATAGAGTTCTATAATTATAGTTTTTTTAATTATTGATTTTTTTATTATAATATTTTAAGATAGTGCAATGGACAGTAACCGTAATAATGGAGATAGGTATTTTAATATTGTGCTATCATTTTGTTTGTAGAAAGCATTTGTTTAAGATCGGTGAAGATTATGCGCTATTGTTTCCAGGAATTTTTGTACACATTACGTAAATTCTACATTCATTTCTTTACATAAATGTAAGATATCTGATTCGAATTAGGAATTAATAATTATTTAATTAAGTTATTAGAAAAAAAAAACAAAAGTACTACGTGATATATCCGAATCACCTTAATATATGAAGTAAAGTGAGGTCTAGGTATTAAATTATACGAAATCTAAAAATTGTACGTGATTATTAACCAGTAAATAATAACAATACAAAAAAAATCAAACATTTAGTTTTCTTTTGAACAAATATTAAAAAAACAATTGTGATTAAAAAATGGCATTCCACAGCGGTGCGATTCTCGCGCAATTTTTTGCTTCGCACAGCCGCGTTGTGGAACGGTCTGTTCTCGGCGGTATTTCCAAACCAATACGACTTAGGGACCTTCAAGAAGCGAACATACCATTTCCTTAAAGGCCGGCAACGCATCTGCGGTTCCTCTGGTGTTGCAGATGTCCATCGGTGTCGTTGATCACCTCAGTGTTCCCATCGCTCGTTTGCCCCTTCTCTTATTAAAAAAAATACTTAATTAGTAGCCTATGTGTTCTTCCAGACTATGTTCTGCATTTACGCCAAATTTCAGAGAGATCCAAGTAAGTTCCCTGGAAATACCTTCAAACATCCATCCGTCTAAACATTCGTGTTTATAATATTAGTAAGACATTTATTATCCACACATTAGTTAGTGGTCGAATTTTAGTTATTCTTCCAATGATTTTCTTATAAGGAAGGGAAGTGAAGAAAGAAGACATCTTTCTGTGCATCTCCTTATGTTAAGTGATAGGCAACGCATCTATAGCCTTTTGACTTCTTGTTGTCACAGCGGCAAGTCAAACGTCATATGTCACTTCGCTTTTTTTTTATAAGAAAAGGAGGCAAACGAGTGGCGGGAACACCGATTACAACATTCTAATTTAAAAAATAAAAGATAATTATTTCCTTATCAAAATCTTTGTTTAAGGTTTGAGGTTATGTTTATAAATGATATATTTCTCTGAAATTAAACATTGTATTCATTGCGTTATCGTTTGACAAACTTAAAAGTTTGTTTTATCACATTTATATGAATTTTAATCTATTGTTGTGTCTTTAAAATATATTTACAATTGTGATAAGAA